AACTTTTGTGATCCGATTTTTACATAAAAATGGAATTATGGATTATAAACAATTGCTTCAAAGCCACAGATACATTATCAACCTATGGAACAACCGATTCAGCCGCGTTTTTTCTTTCTCGTTTTAATGCCATTGAACACGTCTTTTGATCAGATTGACAGCTACGGTGAGACGATCTCCCGTAAAAGCTCCGTAAAAGGTACGTGTTGTGATGTCTGTGTTTGCTTCCCCTGTTGCGAGATCAGATTGCTTAGATACTATACTTAAATTATCTGTGGAGTCTCAGCTTTAATCGGATATATTGTATGTGCAGTTTCGATAAGTAATAAGGGTATCTTTATTTTTGAATTATGTGCTAAAGTGTGTTAGCATTTAAAAAAAAAAAAAAGAATAAAACCGCACGTCCCTGCGGTGTGAATACCGCGCATGCGCATACCGTGGTCATCGCCATGACACGGTATATCGTTCAGCCCTAACGCACGCCGCCGTGTGTAGGGGCCGTTAGGCTATACAGTGTGGAATGATGAGTCTTATAGGGTGCATTTGATATATAACGCAGTGCAGCATGGTAGAGTGGGTCACGTTTGGCCAAAACAGGGGGACAGGCAAATCTATAAATTGTATCACCGTAGTCCAGCTGGGAAAGGAATAAGCCAGACTTTTACGAGAAGAAGTTGAAAAACAATATTTAACTCTGTAAAGGAAGCCAAGAGTGAATTTCAATTTATTAGTTAGAACTTCAATATGGTGTTTAAAGTTTAGATTTCTGTCCAACCAAAAGCCCAGATATTTGTATGTATCGACAAACTCAACAGAGACGCCATCAAGGGTGTCAATGGAGAGGCAAGAGGACGCTGACTTGGGAGCAAAGAGCATTGCTTTGGTTTTCTTACTGTTCAATAGCAGTTTGGAATCAAGAAGCGCATGCTGCAGCGTGATAAAATCAGATTTTAAATTGGAAACAGCCATATCCAGAGAAGAAGCACATGAGTATACAATAGTGTCATCAGCATACATATAGAAAATGGCATCTGATTACAAATATTGTTTACATATAATAAAAAGAGAAAGTGCCCCAAAATAGAGCCCTGTGGAACTCCCTTCTCCAAGGTGACTGGCTCAGAGACAGTACTACCCAGCCTGACACATTGAGTACGGTCGGTTAGATAATTCTGAAACCAGCAAATGGCGTTATGAACGAAACGAGACATCAACATAACATTAGACAGAATGTGGTGATCTACAGTGTCAAATGCTTTGGCTAGGTCAATAAACAATGCAACACAAAAAGGTTTGTTTTCCAAAGCAGCCTTAATATCGTCTAAGACTTTCAGACTGGCAGTCACAGTACTGTGCTTTGATCTGAATCCAGATTGCATAGGGTTAAGGATGTTGTGTGAATTTAAAAAAAGTTGTAGCTGAGTAGAAACTAGGGACTCAATAATCTTTGATAACACAGAAAGATTTGAGATGGGTCGATAGCTATTCAACTCAGTGGGATCACCAGCTTTCAAGAGGGGCGATACCAGAGCTTGCTTCCACACAGCTGGCAGTGTGTGAGTGGACAGGGAGAGATTAAAAATATCAGTAACTGGTTGTGCTATACTCTGAGCCGATATTTTTAAAAATGCCTGGCCCGGCAGACTTTTTAGGGTCAATTGAGTGCAAACCGTGTAAGACTTCAGAGACCGAGAAAGAAGCTAAATCAAAAACAGGGGAGTTCATCTCTTGATCTGTGAGTACGACCATGCAGAGAGTCATGACTGCTCATCAAAAATGTGACCAGCCTTTTTGAAGTGAGCATTAAAGGCATTAGACATATCATTTGTATCTGAAATAAAAGAATCACTGACCTTCAGTTTTTGTGGGAAACTAGAAACCTACTTGTTCTGAAGTGATTTAATTGTTTTCCAGATCTTAGAATGGTCATTAAAACAATCAGTGGTTAAGCTCAGATAGTAATCAGCTTTAGCTTTTTTAATAAGGGCTGAACATTTATTTCTGAGGACACGAAAAAGAAGCCAGTCATCACTAGTGTTAGACTTTCTAGCTAAAGACCATTGCTTATTTCGATCATGAATTAGATCCGATAGTTCTCTAGTAAACCATGGAGTGTTCCTATTCTTAACTCTGAATTTTCTAAGGGAGGCAGAGAAGTGTTTGAAGCTTTGAAGCAGCGCCTGAGCACAATAAGGCCCTTGGCTTTGGGCATCTTAGTGCTCCTAACGCAAGCAATAGTGCAATGGTCACTGATATCATTAGGAAAAACACCAACAGACACATACTTATGAGCTGCATTTGTTAGAATGGCATCTATAAGGGTATCGTTATTGGGTTTGGCAGGGTTTATTCTAGTGGGATTATCAATAAACTGAGTTAAATTCAAAGAATCACAAACCTGCTCAGTGCATGACATTAAGGATTTTGGGAGATGGCCCTGTGGGCCATCAAAGCTAATTTACAGATGGCCCTGAGCCTATTAGAGATTGCCCTGAAAAATGTGCGCGGACGAAATGACGCACGAAGGGTTTGGGGGGGCTCACCCTAGAACATTTAGATGTTTGCAGGTCTTAGATGCTGTCTGGTGCATTCTCTAGACTGAATTATAAGATGAACCACCACAATATTATATTATACAATTTCAATTTTATTCTTCATTTCACTTGTTTGTTTGTTCTTGTTTGTGTTTGCTCGCTTGCATGCCCTGCATAGCTATAAGAAATACTCAAGTTGTTGGTCAAGACACTTTCCATCTGATGAAGGCAAATGCCTTCCCAGATGGAAACAAGTAGAAAACATTACATTCAGTTATAACTGCCAAAACAAACATTATTTACACTATTATGGCCCCTGTTAAAAATGTTTGTAATGTTATCTACTGTAAGTTGGTCGAACGAATGCCTCCTCATCCGGAAGCTGACCGAGCAGACCCGAGCAGCAGTCGAGAGGAGCCGAGCGCATCCGCGAAGCACACAAAATGGCGACGTCAGAGTTCCCGTTAGCCGGCAAATCTAAATCTCTTTGGTCAAAATGTCCGGTCAAAATAATTTCCCTTTAGCGCAATACCGCTTCAGTTGCGCCACTTATGTGACAGACAAGAATAGTATGTGACAGACAAGAATAGTCAATTCTAATGTCTAACACTTAATGTGGAGAAAGAGATGTCCTGTATGGGTTGATTGTGCGTTGATCTGTTGGTAATGCCTCGGGGTTCCGGTGGGCATGTAAACAAATGCATAATGCTGCGCTATACTTTGTGGCCTCACCCAGTTGCATAGCGACGCTTATTGTTTAGGTGTCTTTTAATAAGCAGGTAGTCATATCATTAGCTAGAACTAGCTGGATCTGATCGATATGGACATAAACGCGAGTCTAATCTGACGGGAGAGAGAGATCAGCTGCTGCTGACGAGTCGACACGCAGCTCTGCATGATCACATGCAGCGGTGAGCGGACAAAACACACACTTCAGGTTAGAATATCACACGTAGCTATTTTAATTACCTCTCAAACTACCTGAACTAGTTATAGATGTGTTTAGTTTTACTGTCGGCTCACTCATTACTGGATCCGCGAGCTGCATGATACTGGCATAATAGATTGCCCGATCGGGCAACCAGCAGGTGAGGCTTCATTGCCTGAGCTAAATACTAGATGGCCCCGGGCCATCGGGCAGTCCTTAATGTCGAGCCCTGCTGCTTAAACTGTGAAGATTTATCACTCAACCAGTCCCAATTTAAATCACCCAATAATATGATTTCAGAAGAAAACGTAGACAACAATTCAGTAAGGCTAGTAGTTGAATCAATGATGGCCGATGGAGGCCTATAACAGCCAATAACAGTGAGAGGAGCATTTGCTATAGTTATTTGGACTGCTAGCAACTCAAATTGCTTTAGAATTGAAATCGAATGAAGGACAGAGCACTGTAGTTTCTCAGCAGTGTATATTGCAACACCACCAGCTCTTCCCTTACGATCTGCTCTGAATACATTACATCCATCAATGTGAATAACAGTGTCAGTGACAGATGGTTTTAACCAGGTTTCAGAAACTACAACAATATCAGGCTTGGCAACTAAAAACCAGGTCTTGAAAACATCTAATTTGGGCACTAGGCTTCTAGCATTAACATGCAGAAAACCCAATCCTTGACTACAGCTAAACTCATTCAGAGTTGGCAAATGCTGCAAGGAAGCAGAGAAACACTCAGGACCAGGGTTCATGTTAACGTTACCAGAGAGTAAAAGCAGTAACAATATTAACAGCCTGGTAGATGATTTTTTCACATGGTCTGGACGCGTCGCTCCTCAGGGGGGCGGGGCCGCTCCGATCCTTCGATATTAGCGAGCCCAGAGTCAAAAGGGCATACGGGAGAGCGCATTTTGTGCTGTAAAACGTCAGCTTTTGGTAAAAACTATCCGATGGAGTCAGCTCTCCAGAGGTTCCACCATCCGAATGTCCAAAGTGAACAAAGACATCGCTGGGAGGCAATCCGTCAGCTTTGCCGACATGCGGGCTGACAATTAATCCCAGAAGAAGAGCGAACACGAGGGTAACTTTGGGCAACATTGTGCTGCAACACACCTAGTTCAGGAACAGCAGCTCAGGTCGATCAGCCCTCGACAGCACGGCAGGACAGACAGCCATCCAGAGTCCGAAAGAGCAAATAATCCAGACACAGCGAGGCACCGGCACAAAATGACGAGAAACAGCCTAAACATTTTTAAAAGCGCATTAAAAAAAATAAATAAAAAACGGGTCTGAAAGAGCTAAATAACACGTATAAAATGTCAGTTTGCACAAGAGGTAGTCAATGTCAAAAAAACGACAATGAGACAAACACTGACAGACAAATCAACGTGCTGCCATCTTGGTGCTCTATTTATGATGTATAGGTCCTAACACACTCTGTATATTACACTACATCACACATAGAACTATGCAGTGAATCTGTAAATAAAGGGACAACATTCAAAGCTAACTTTATTAATCATGCAGATGAAACCCAGGTCCACATTGCCAAGCACGTCCTGAAGACCGTGTGCTCGGACGTGTCCAACATCCTGGTGAACTTCCTGGCTGCTGACCTGATGATGTCCGTGGAGAATCCCAGCACCTTCACCCCTGAGGTGAGGAAGGTCCTGCTCTGTGGCTGAGGGCCAATAGAAACCATACGATGTGACAGAATCCTATGGCTGACACTTGGGTACTCTAAAGACAGACTATTGGACCAGAGTCCTCCTCCTCTCAGCTGGAGAATCAGAATACCTTTATTCGTCCCACAGAGGGGACATTTTTGTTTCTTGTTACAGCCAAAGCTAGCTTAATATTAATTAAGAAGCACGCATCAAAATAGTAAAGATAAAAGTAGAAATTACAATTTACAAAAAAGACATCCCGCAATTGACAACAGTTGTGAGATCATCCAGGTGATGGTATTAACGGGGGAAGTATATACAGTTAGTTATTTACAGATGTATTACTGGAGTTCAATTGTCTAGCTGAGGGACAGCAGCCAGAAATAATAATAATAATTATGAAGCGGTTTATATATATTATTGCACATAAGTAGTATTGCACAACAGGGGTGTTGTAGTCATTGTTATATGCGTGTGGTGGTCTACCAGGGGCCGTGGTGTTCATACAGCCTGACCGCTGGCGTCATGTTTGAAATGCTCTGTGGGACTGGTCAGAGCTTGGTCTTGGTGATGAAGTTCTCCGATGTGTTCCTCAGGTCAGAGTGAAGATTCTGGGCAAGCTGTCGGAGGACACCAGAGGACCCCTGATGAAGCTGCACAACTGCCTGAACGGAAAAGTGAGTGTTTCCTGTCAGTTACATCATGAGCCTCTCGCTCTACTTTGAAGAATAAAACTGAAATACTGTGACGAAAACCCGTTCACAGACCATTGAAGACTTTCTGACCAACATCGAGACGTGTGCAGAAGTGTGTGGCTTCATGCTGAAGAAGGGAGACAAGAAAAGGGAGAGGTAAGAAAAAACAACATTTGTATAGGTTTTTTTTCTCCTTTATTTTTTTTAGCGAGTGTTGAGAGGCTAAGCTCAGCGCTTTAATCCACTGAGGATCGTGGCGTAATTGCCGACACTTAACTTGCCAGTTGAATAAAAGTCAAACACCAAGTTTCAAGTGAAACACTCAGTCCATTTATTTTCTCAGTGTCCATTTAGCTTGCTTCTTATTTCCATTCTCCGTACACAAAATTACACTTAACACAATACCTTAGGCAGCCAAACTGTACCTCAGTGTGTGTGCGTGTGTGTGTGTGCTCCGGTGTGTGTGTTCGGGCGGAACTTGAATCTAAAAAAACATTGGTTCCAGAGGTTGCGCTAGACTTTTTCACTGCCAGTCATTTTGACGGACAGGATCGTAAAATTTCCGTCAAAATTCAGCATTACCCGTCGGCCTTTACACTCTTGGAAAGAGAGAAGGAGAGAGAGAACTGTCAACCGGGGGGGGGGGGGAAGAGCACGGTCGTGAACTGTCAACGGGGGGCGGGCCGCACGCTCGTGAACTGTTAGCGCCGTGTTATGCATGCCCACTGCACCTCGCGGGAGTGCGCACAGCGTAAAGCCAAAACTCAGACATTTCAATGATTTGTACGACAAAGTTGGGTTTGGAAACGGTATCATTTCCTTTTTGGCAGGCATGCATAACACCGGAGCCTCGCTGCGGGGAAACTTTGACGCTGTTCTGAGTTTGTTCTAATCTGTCAAAATGACGGACTGCTTTCAGATTTTTCCGTCATTGTTAAAAAAAATCCATCATAGACGGAAAATATTCGGTTAACGCGACCTCTGATTGGTTCCTACCTTTATATCCAGAGTGCTAATTGGCTCCTACATGTGTATTTGAGACGTACTTCCCTGTAGTTGTGCTGAGTGTGATGGTGTCTCCCAGGCAGGCACTGTTCCTGCACCGCCAGGCCCTGATGGAGCAGCTGAAGGAGACGGAGGACCCAGCTCTGGTGCTCCACCTGACCAGCGTGCTGCTGTTCCAGGGCTCCACCCACTGCATGCTGCACGCCCCGGGCCGCTGCGTGCCCCACGTCATCGGAACGCTCTGCGGCCGGATCCCAGCGGTGAGTCTGACCCCCCCTGAGGGTCTACACAGATCATCATCATCCTCATCGATTAGAGTGTTTGGTTTTAGGTTGAAGGGTGTTCAAAAAGCCTTTTTCAAACTGGAATGAGATCTAATAAAATGGCATTTAACCCCAACCCCAACGCCAGCTTTACCAGCTGTGTGGTTTGATTTGACCACCTGCAGCAGACGGAGTTGCAGATGCCGGTCCCTGAACACGGAGCACAAAGCAATAGTCGGAACAAATGGCTCCTGATCGTTAACTAGTGCTTTTTATGATCAAACATCTTTTTATTAAGTTTCTACAGTGCATATCTAAGGTTTTTACTTTACAACTTAAAGAAGTGAATACACAATGCCAATATTATTATTGTGTGTGTGTGTTTTTTTTTGTTTTTGTTTTTTTAAATGAACAAGGTTAATTTAATTTCCTTCTGGTTCTTGTTGGAGGTGTTGATTGGCAGATGGAAATGCTTTAAATTGCCATTCTGTTCAATTTGTTAAATTTGTATTAATGAAGTTTCACACTATTACGAATTTTCTTTCTACACCTACCTTACTTAAGTATGTCCATGTTATACTTATTTTCATAATGTTGACTTCTCTATTAATTTGATAGGTGTATTTACTAGCTATTAATATTTATATATGCAAACGTTTTGATTAGCTCATGTACGTTTTTAGTAAAAACAATAATGCATCAGAATAACAGGGTGTTTTGTTTTTCAGGAGCAGCAACAGCTGGTGTCGGCCTATCAGAGCCTGGTGGTGAAGCAGCTGGTCAGCCAGAGTCAGAGCAGGAAGCAGGAGGAGGCCGAGGGGGCGGAGGAGCAGGAGGAGGAGGCCCGCAGCGTCCGCTCACAGCTCCTCATCCTCACCCCGCAGCTCAAAGACCTGACGCTGTCCCAGAGGAAGACGTCCACCGCAGAGGACTAGCATCACAGAGAAATGAGTCTTTTCACCCTCTCACATGTTCAGATGAATACTTTGAACTCTGCTAGAGCAGCTGTTGTCATTTTGTGATTTAGTCATGGGGACATCATTCTAAATTATTAAAGGGAATTCCTGTGGGATGTCTCCCTGTAAACACAGTTAACATGAAAATCCTCAATGAGGTTCTAATTGTCATGCAATCATTAAAGCTCTCCTCTTCCTCATGTGTGGAGTTACTTCTTGTAAAAGGTTTGTAGAAGTGTCTGTGTGCTATGACTCACTGTGCCTTCATGGCTATAGAAACACTCGGGTTCATATCCTTGCAAACAGCAACAGTTGGCAAAGAAACGTGCCTGTTCTGGAAAACCAGAGAGAGAGTCCAGTCTGCTGATGGCGCCATGCCATCGATCAAAGTAAAACTGAGGTGAAAATAAACTGTTCAATTCATAACTCAGCGTGGATGAAAAGGGCTATTCAGATCAGATACATGACTAATTCAAGCTCCTTCATTTCCTTGATTATGGAAGAATTCCTAGATTCAGTCATTTGATGAGGACAGTGAGTTATGTATACCTCACGTATTAAATGTAAAATGTGTATCAACAGGTTCAGTTTATTATTTATGTGAGGGCCAAAGTAATGGCATTGGGAAATATAAGTTGTTTGTCTCCCTCTTGTGACAAACTACAGATCATCAGATAAGGGTTATTTTCTCTCTGTAATTCTGTGTGGTAACACTGGAGGGCGCTGATTACTACAGGAACATCCCTTTAGTAGCTTTCTACATTTGGATATCATACCACATCTATGACAGTAGATACAGCCACTACAGAGCCAAAGACATTACCTACATGTGGGGTTGATGAAATAAGACTTAAAATAACTTGTGTGCAGAAGAGTCAAACATAAAATACAACTAATAATGAATCAAATAAGAGGTATACAACTTGGCACGAATACAAGTAATACGAGGTAAAGTGCATGGTGTGGTTAGTAACGCCATGTGAGGAAGTGATACTTCATTTAGTCAGTATTAATAAAGCAATATATTACAAAAATAGCGCGCAGTACATAATGTAGTAATACAATATAATGTATGTTATATCTTAACATGTTATGCTATGGTACAGTAGTTTAGAATATGATATGATTTATACCTGCCTTTCATGACATGATAATGATCCTTTGAACATATCATTTGTTCTAAATGTAATTGACACACTATACTAACTTGCTGAACTATAACATGCTCTACTATCACTTTTTATAGACAAAATAAAAAGACTTTTATGACATACTATGACTATCATTTAATGCTACTATGACTGTCTGTTTTTATGAGAAACTATACCAAGGGATCTTATAACAGCCGTTATATTACATACTATACTAAATCTTTTTGTGTACATTATTTAAAATACAGTACTAAGTCTTTTGATGACATACTGTTCCCTTCATATTCTTCTTCTGCTGCAGCTGCAACATGTACTCTGTGTGACTCAGGGGTTAAGCGGGGGGGCTCTGTGGAATGTAAACTGTGTGATAAAAAAACTGAGATTTAGTATTCAACAGTGCAGTCCTTCTCCGTTCTTCAGAAGCATCTCCTTGCTGTTTCCAGTGACAAACAGCTTCATCAAACACAGGCACAGGGAGCAGCTAGCAGGATGATTTTACACTGAGCCGGTTGTTAAGTGATCAACCTCCCTCTTCTCCGTGTCTGGGGAAATGTAAGGAATCCTGCGAGCGGCCCGGGGAGCCCTGACAGACCTGATGGAGCGTCCTGAAGGTGAACTGTGTCCATCGTGTTGATCTCAGAATCATGTGACCGTGGAGGCAGAGGCTGCCGAGGAGAATATGCATGTGTGAGGTCGTCATACACACATGCACATGCTCCACATCGCCATGGAAACAAGCATCTCCTCACGGAGGCAGGTTTCTTCTTCTTTATTTTTGCTCTCTGTTTTCCACTGAGGCCTCCGGCTTTGGCAAGTGAGAGATGTCAAATGAGGAATTTCAATGTAAAGAGAGATTTAAAAACAGAGCCTCCTACTCCCACAATATGATTCATACCAATACAAAACACTGATGCAAAATGCAAACCACACCAAGCCCTTCATATCATAGAAAATAACAAATCATTCATTTTCCAAAATTAATTTAATTTAAGTTCTTTTCAAACCAAATCAGGAGCAGGTAGAGATGACCTTTATTACATGGCACACTGCACAGGGAAGAGGTTATAGGGTGTGTATCAGTCAAACTGTGGGTATGAATTCATCTGTCTATTGTTTTAGCTTTTAAATGATTAGATGTAAGTATCCAGAAACAAACAGTCCAAAACCTACAGATATCAAGATAAAACAGAAAAAATAAACAAATCCTCACATTCAAAACAGATGGATGTTTTGAATGACCCTAACCCACATTTTCTCTCTCAAAATCATTATTAATCTGTTAAAACATTTAAGTTGCTTATTCATGTATTCTCCTTCAACGATAAATGGATGTAATGGCTCTGCTGGCAGTGGTTTGTAATAATCTGACTCTAGGTGTCCTTGCTTGCCTTGTTCAGCAGCGTCTCTGCCTCATCTCACCGTCCTCATCAGTGAGTTGTTTCAGTTGTCATGGAGATGACTAAAACGACATAGCCCAGCTGTGCTAGGAATTAACGTAGCCTTAAAAAAACGATATGTGTGTGACCAAAATCTTTCATCTTGAGTAAGAACCACTGAGCTGTCAGAACTAAGAGGAGGAACACATTGTTGCTTTGCTCTTCTCATGAGGTCTCCCATGATGCAAATTCATTTAAAATAATGTGTACACTCATTTAGTCATCTCTGTATGGAGATGGTGGGCTTTGTTTTTCACTGAAAACATGTACCATTTTAATCTGGCCCCAGTGGGATTCAGTCATTAGTGATGGCAGTATTCTCCCACTGAACAACACATGTCATTGACTCATACAGTAAATATAAGCCATGTTTATCCTGTCAATAGAATTTATTTTTTATGTAAAACTCTATAAGCCTCTTCTAAAATTCACCTTTGCACTAATGATTCTACCCGTGGCGGTGCATAGCAACAACAACATTATGTATACAAGCATTTCTGAAATCCACTGTATGTGTGAGCAACAATGGTCCTCATATTGATTCAGCTGCTCATTATTCAAACAGTGCAATCATATGTTCTTCAGCTTTCAGTTCTGCCATTGCAAGATGATGAAGTATAACATTGCTGTCACTACAGGAAACAAGACCTTGCCATTCTAAACTGAAAATAAATTCTATGGCATCTTCATGTCATGGACATTAACCAATACACAGGAGATCTGATTCCCAGGAGACACGCTTATGGTTACATCCTGGTACTTGTTCCCATCAGGATTCAGAGCAGAGCAGCTTCCTTATACGCCAGGTACGAAATCAACAGATGACTGCAGTCATACTTCCTGTGAGATCAGATACATGGCGTGGTATAATGAGGAGGAAAAGCAGTGGCTGTATACATGCATTTGACACATAGGCCTTCAGTAGTGTCCTACCTGAATAATCCACCTCTTAATACCATTATTATGACGTCACAGCTACAGAAACCATTAATATTATACAGAAACACAGTTGTTGCATCACAGACAGGTATGTAGCCCTTATGTTGTGTTCGGGTCTGCCGTGACCCGTTTCAAGTTCAAGCTTCATGATATCCACCACAACAGCTATATAAACACTAAAAACAGATTTTGACAATTTTAGCCAAGTCTGAGGTCTCTAAAAAAAAGTGTATAATTTGGTGTTCGGGTCTGGGAAGACCCAGCAGAATTGTTGTGGGTGACTCAGGATCACATTTGGCCCAATCAACATTCATCTTTGACTTTAGACAAGGTGCCGCTGTAGTTATGGTGCATTACCACTGTAGGGCCTCGCGGCTTAGTACGGTATAGTTAGGCCTTGGTAGGCCAGGCTCACTTTAGCTGCGTTTCCATTACAGTTTAGTAACTGGGGCAGTAACTATAGTAACGCAGTGTAGGCGGAGCAGTGACGTCATATTCAATGCAAACCACAAAACCAACATCAGCCATTAGCTGTTAGCACTCAGAGCTCACAGCTCCTCATATCTGTTCAGAAACTAGACAAAAGTGAAACAAGTACAAACCACAGACTGCCTGTGTCATGACGAATAGAGTCACTGGTTTATTTATGTCTGTATAGGCCGTTGTTGTGAGTGTGGACGATCGGAGCATATACTGCGTTTTAAAAGGTTTTTCACCTGCCGTCTTGTCTGCAGACTTGTCAAAGCATTAATTCATGTTTTTTACTAACCGGTATCAGTATGTTTTTACTTCGGCATCATTTTGAAACGTGTATTAAATCACAGTCAAATATGTTCATCTTGTTGTAGTTGTAGCCCCCTTGCCAGCGATTCTCTCTGACCATTCAGCAGACAGAGCGGACAAACCTTTTCCCTGGCTGCGACAGGCTGGCTAGCTTCACCAAATCAATTTCTACTCAGCCATTGTTGGTTGAAAAAACTGCCTTAAAATCTACACGGAAATATTGTTTAATTGTGCTACTGTCGCTACACACGCTCAGCACACGCTAGACACTATTTGTTAGCTCCGACAATCCAATCAAAGGACGTGAAAATGCCGACGTCATTGTACTCCTGCTAGATGGCCCCGGTGTCACCAACTCGAATTCTGCCATGTGGCATAGTTACCCCCTCATTGCAATAGTGTGCCACAGTCCTAAACCCCGGAAGTAAGCTGTGCATGGGTTCCTTAGACAAAAAAGGAATGCAATTTCTCCATAGGATTTTGGAAAATAGCTCGAAATAAGGTCTGTGGTTGACACACATTGAAGAGACGGATCACGTTTTGTTCAGTCGGATAATCTCCACATGTCTACCTACTTTTATAATTTTCGAATCATAAATCTAATCGATAGATTTATGATCGATGGGTTTATGATAGGGTTTTAGGACGCGTCACTGTGGCACTCTATGACATGAATTTAAATTTAACATGAATTCATCTCAATGAAATTTGCCCCCCCCCTTTCTGAAGAACCAGCACCTTACCGTGGTAGAGAGGTTTGTGTGCCCTGATGAACCTGGGGGCTGTGTTGTCTGGAACATTGTGTTCCTGGTAGGGTCTCCCATGGCAAATTGGTCTCAGGCAAGGGGCCAGACTAAGATTGGTTCAAAAGACCTCATGAAAGAAAAACAAGGAAGTGAGGATACCCGGCCCGGA